AGAAGAGGCTACTAAAGTTGGAGAATGCTTCTATATGAAAGATGGCATCCTTATGCGAAAATGGCGACCACCTGATGCTTCTCCAGATGAAGTGTGGCGTGTTGTTCACCAGATAGTCGTCCCAGCTGCTTATCGTCGAGATGTCATGAGATTAGCTCACGATACACCTATGGCTGGTCATTTAGGTATCAATAAGACTTATAATAGGATTTTGAGTCATTTTTATTGGCCTACGCTAAGAAAGGATGTTTTGAAGTTTTGCAAGTCATGCCATGTCTGTCAGATGGTAGGTAAACCAAATCAGAAGATACCATCTTCTCCTCTCCAACCCATTCCAGCTTTTGAAGAACCGTTTAGTCGAGTATTAGTGGATTGTGTAGGACCTTTGCCTAGGACCAGATCTGGAAACCAGTATTTACTTACCATTATGTGTACATCCACTCGATTTCCTGAAGACATACCTCTAAGGAATATAAAGGCAAAGAGCATAGTTAAGGCCCTAACCAAGTTTTTCAGTTTTGTAGGAGCACCCAAGGCAATTCAGTCGGATCAAGGCTCAAATTTTATGTCGGGGTTGTTCCAGCAAGTCATGCATGAGTTGGGTATAAGGCAATATAGATCAACTGCTTATCATCCTGAGTCCCAGGGAGCGCTAGAACGTTTTCATCAAACCCTAAAAACAATGCTGAAGACCCATTGTTACCAATATGAAAAAGACTGGGACGAAGGGGTTCATCTTGTGCTATTTGCTGCACGAGAAGCAGTCCAGGAGTCTCTTGGGTTCAGTCCTTTTGAATTGGTGTTCGGACATACAGTTAGAGGTCCTTTGAAATTGTTGAAGGAAAAGTGGCTGACTGAGACTAGTGATCTTAATCTTTTAGATTATGTGTCTGATTTCAAAGAAAAACTTTACAATGCTTGTAAATTAGCACAAGAAAATTTGAAGAATTCTCAGATGAAAATGAAAATGTGGTATGACAAAGATGCCAGAAATAGGGTGTTTAAGCCAGGTGATAAGGTTCTTGTATTTTTACCTATTCCTGGTCATCCTTTACAGGCCAGATTTTATGGCCCTTATGAAATTGAAAGCAAGATCAGTGATGTAAACTATGTAGTTAAGACACCAGGTCGACGTAAAGAAAAACGGGTTTGTCACATTAACATGTTAAAAGAGTATTTTGAAAGGTGTGACCGAAATTCTGTAAAACCAGTTTCCACTTTAGCCAATGCTAAGACTGTTCAAAATTGTATTGAAAGTGATACGAGTGTAGAAATGAATGAGAAAGATTGTAATCAGAGTGTCCGCTTGAAAAACTCCGAAATTTTGGCTGACTTTGATGCCAAACTTGGACATTTGAACATTCACCAAAAAGAACAAGTTAAAAACTTGATGAATGAGTATCATCAAATCTTTTCGGATGTTCCAAAGAAAACTAATGCAGCTTGTCATGATGTCATAGTGAGTGACGTTCTGCCTATCAAACAACATCCGTACCGTCTGAATCCAATAAAATTGCAGTACTTAAGAAGGGAAGTGCAGTACATGTTGGACAATGACATTGTTGAACCTAGTAAAAGTGATTGGAGCTCACCGTGTATTCTTGTACCAAAACAGGACGGTTCGTACCGATTATGTACAGACTTTAGAAAGGTGAATTCTGTTACCAAAACTGATTCATATCCAATACCTAGAATCGATGACTGTATTGACAACATTGGAAACGCGAAATTTGTCAGTAAATTTGACTTGTTGAAAGGCTACTGGCAAGTGCCGTTAACAGAAAGAGCAAAAGAAATATCTGCTTTTGCTACACCAGATGGACTTTACCAGTATAAAGTAATGCCTTTCGGCATGAAAAACGCACCGGCTACGTTCCAAAGGATGATTCACTCCCTTCTTCAAGACCTTGAGGGATGCGAAGCCTACATTGATGATGTCGTCATATACAGCAACACATGGGACGAACATATCCGAATCATGCATGCTTTATTTGACATTTTAGCTAAAGCAAACTTAACTGTGAATCTTGAGAAGAGCGAATTTTGTCATGCTTATGTAGAGTATTTAGGACATAAAGTAGGTCAAGGTTATGTTACACCCATTATGGCTAAAGTGGAAGCTATTGCAAAGTTCCCGATTCCTACAAACAAGAAAGAATTAATGAGGTTTTTGGGCATGGCTGGGTTTTACAGAAAATTTTGTCCAAATTTTTCCTCAGTAGTTAGTCCACTTACAAATCTTTTACAAAAGAGGGTTAACTTTGAATGGACAAAGGACTGTGAAAAATTTTTCATAAAATCAAATCTATCCTGATAAGAAACCCAGTTCTGTCAACTCCAGATTTTTCTAAGCAATTTAAGCTTACTGTTGACGCTAGTGATGTTGGAATCGGGGCAGCTTTGTTTCAAGAACATAGTGATAATGTAGATAGAGTTGTTTCTTATTTTTCAAAGAAACTTACAAAATGTCAACGAAATTATTCTACTATTGAAAAAGAATGCCTTGCTTTGTTGTTAGCTTTACAGCATTTTGATGTTTATTTGAATGTTACTTTGCATCCAATTCTTGTGTATACTGATCACAACCCCCTGACATTTTTGCATAAATTGTCAAACAAGAATCAAAGACTGACTAGATGGAGTTTGTTGTTACAAGAATACAACATAACAATTGAGCATATCAAAGGCAAAGACAATGTTATTGCAGACGCCTTGTCAAGAGTATCGTAAACATACTAGATTTTGTATTAATGTACATGTTTTACAATTTAAGTTTTTCATTGACATTCAAACTTTTTAAGGGGGAGGTGTTGTGAGATGTGTATTGTTTCATTATGTATATAATTAGTAACATTAAGTTTCTTGAACATTCCAGAGTGGTCAACATGTTTGGTCATTTTATCTAGAACATTCTTAAATTTTGTGTATGTCCAGATTGTTCCAGTAATATCATGTTTTAACAATTTCTAGAATATTCTAGATTTATATTACTGTATAAATACCCTGTCAATTCGATGCATAACAATACTTTGTCGTATAAGCACTATTGAGATATAACTGGGATATATATTTTCACTGGGACATTGTGTGCAGAAACGGACACTCTGATGTATGTATTTTTAGATTCTTGCTAAGTTTGTACTTTATGTTTCATATACTTATTATATATTACTGTAAATAAATTATTGTTAAGTTTAAATTGTGTTATTGATCTTTGCTGGCATTTCGGGTAATTCTGACCCATAACACCGGTCACACCCGCCTTGTGCTCATTGTCCTTATCGGGAAATAACGGAAAAATCCGTCGCCAATTCAGTGAATAAATAATGGACTAACTTAGTATGAGAAACGTCAGTCATCATCTGACTCAACATCGTCGGTAACCCACGGATGATTCACATCGATTCTCTCTATCATCACTTGAAGGAAGCTTGCAGATTCAAAACTCGTGGTTTGCGACGATGCTGACTCAATGATAAATTGTATTTGCTGACAAGGTCATTGTATCGACTAGAGACTTACGAAATGATGACTTTAAACGAGCCTGCTGAAATTCTTGTTTCATCAACTTGTTTGTCAATAATTTACCTCAATGCATAATTTTCAGAAGCCGAGGATCGGACTACTAGTACCTTAGGACTAGACTGCTGATACACTTTTCACTTACCGGTATTTTTCAATACCTTTACCTTGTTTTGCAAGTTTATCGTACGTAGAGATGCTCTTGCGTATCGAATCAATCGGGAGACTTAAATTGCATTTGAAGCCATAGGTTCATCATTAAGTTTTGTTGTCAGGTTACCATTTAAGTCTCTTTCTTGGAAAATATTCACATAAAAGACAGATTTGTGGGACTGTGATCGAGTCATTTATTTCAAGTTCAAAGGGATAAATATATCGAATCAGCGTAGAAATATAGATGACTATATATTGTTAAATGATAAAACGTCGTGGACATCTCTAAATATTTCCATTACCAATTGTTTTCCCTATGATAAACACTACAAAAGTAAATCTTGTTAATTTCTCAGTGATTCCTGTGGCATGTAAATTTCTCTATTGAAATACTGAAAGGTCAAATGTCTAACTTGCATGTATATGAGTGGCGTATAAATACACTGAAGAAAAAATAAATGTTTTGTTTAATTGTTTACTAAGTAATTAGATTGATTAGATTGATATATTTTTTACAAACAAAATAAATAATGAAATATCTTCGGATCAAAAGCAAGTCATTAGCGCAACGCTGTCCATTATCACCGAGGCCTCGGGAGACCGAGAACTTCCGTAAACATGGTAAACAGCCCATCTGAACCACGTGGAGAAATCGGCATTGCCACGTACATGGATCCGAAACAGACATCGTCCCTCAGTCATTATCATTCGACTTCTAACGCAATTCAACGTCCTCTGTTATTTTAACATCCACACAATTCTGTTTCCTGACCATGCTGACCAACTCCCGTTTCATCAACTGCAACTTTGCATTCAATATGGCGGCGGAGAAGTGACCTAGGGCCTATACATGTGTTCGTGCTTCTGACAACCTAAATCTAGTTCACATATATAATTAAAGTTAACAAGATTGCTTTAATCATAATATAAAATTCTTTTTATTTTATAAATGTTGATATTTAACTACAGTAACTAAATAATCATTAAATTTGTTTCGTGTTTGTATGGGACTATTTTTTTTATAGTAAAATTTGACATCATGGGGCGGGGCGATGGAAAATAACATGGAATGCCTTGTGCATTTCAAATGTACTAAATTAGACGGTATTTCGATTTATTTTAAGATTGTTATTTCAGTAAATTTGGAAATATAAGGAATCACTGTCTAGTTTGGAGAGTATGCCAGGGATATCAACAATAGTGGGAAACATGGGATAATTTAGCATTACGGGCTTCGCGCTATATATATATATATATATATATATATATATATATATATATATATATATATATATATATATATATATATATATAATGATGTCTATTTAAAACATCGGAGGATTAAAGAGGCTTTCACCTGTTTCTTCTAAAAATTTCTCAAGCAAACAATGTACAAATTTTTCGTCTTTCAGATGGTATATCAACATGAATTCCAACAATGGACATATAAGAAAAAAAGTCTTCACACTTGCTCCATGGTTCAGTAAGTTTAATCCTATTGCAGCAGTACGTTTTAATGTCAAGTTTTGTCCTTCATTTTTATTGCCAATTGTATCTTCAAGTAATTTCTTTTTTTCAAATATAACATTTTCTAGAAGATAAAACAAGGGTGTCATCCAGTGATACAATCGCACATTAACATCAGCTCCATTGTTTAAAAGTATGTCGACCGTCTGTTCATCAAAATTATTGCATGCATAATGCAATGGTGTAGACCCAGCTACATCTCTAGCATTAATATCTGCTCCATATTCAATGAGTAAGACAACCTCCTCATGGTGTTGCGCAAGACAAGCATAATGTAAAGCAGAAATAGATTCTTTATCTTTGAGGTTAACGTCAGCTCCATTTTCCAAAAGTAATTTTGTGCATTCAGTGTTGCGCTGGACTACACCCATAAGTGCTGTCAATCCAAGATTATCTTGGATATTAAGTTCACAACCACAATTTACTAAAATAGAAATAATGTCAAGTAAATCGGAATTTTGTACCCCAGGATGAAAAAGATTAAACCAATCATCATCCGCGGTACGTAGATCATGTAGCAAGTAACGCAGTCTTTCGTCAAGGTTGTCTTTAGTGTGATCAAAGGCACATTGGATGAGTGCCGTTTTTCCGTTATCAAAGGTCGTATTGACTTCAGCACCATTTTTAATCAAAATAGTCATGATATCTTTACATGAGGACCATGCTGCAATAGAAAGTGGGGAACACAAACCTTGGAATGTATAGTTGACATTAGCCCCTGATCTAATGAGTAGAGAAATCAAATCTTCATTTTTATCACAACAAGCACCAAGAAGAGGCGAAGGTTGCATTGAGTGTTTTGTGTTGACATTGGCTCCGTGATTTAATAATAATTTTACGCAATCCAAATGGCCTCTATAACATGCGGTGTATAACGGAGATATATCATTATGGTCACATATATTGACCTTTCCTTTAAGATCGATGAATAATTTCAGTATTTCTTCCTGACCTTCATGTGAAGCCCACCATATTGGTGTTCGTCCATTACGATCTGTTTCATTGACTCCGATGCCTTTTTCTACCAATAAGGCAACTATATCGAATTTCCCCCTTTGGATTGCAGCCCAAAGAGGAGTTTTGCCTGCTTTGTTTGTATTGTTAATACTTGCACCCTTTTCAAGCAGATAAGAGACAATTGATGAGTGACCTCTTTTACATGCCCACCAAAGTGCCGACCAGCCCTCCTTTCCAACTTCGTCATAATAAGTATCTAGAATGTAATCGTAATGAAACAAGTCTAAACAACATCTTTCTTCCAAATTTGCACCATTTTCGATTAAAACTTTTGCTATCTGATCATGCCCATTACAACAACTTTCGATGAGAGGAGTGTTTCCATTTTTGTCTGGTAAGTTGACGTTTGCCCCTTTTTCAATCAATAATTTCACTATGTCAATGTGTCCAAATTTACAGGCAGCAGTCAATGGTGTCACTGATTGATAAGTAAAATAAACAAAGGCGTTTACATCATTTTGACTGCAAATCCCTTCGTTGAAAAGAAACTCCAGAATGTTTTTCTTCCCTGTTATGCAGGGTATGGTTATAAAGCTTAATCCTTCTAACGGGCAAGAATCGTTTGAATGCTTACCCTTTTCACACAGCTGTTTACACAGGAAGCATATAAATTTTGAATTCAAATCGGGGCCAATTAGTTTTAAACACAGTTTCACCATGTCTAAATTGCCACTTGTTAACGATAAAAGAAAAGCTGATTTTTTACTTTGGAAAAGCTCGTTTTTTGACTCCGAATCAACAACATCCAAGGAATGAATTAAGAAATTTGTCCATCCTGCACCAATTAACCAGTGTAGAAAACTAGTCTTGTTTATCTCTAGTAGTAGTTTTGCTGACAAGTTTTCGTAAAAATTTGGAATATTGCCATTCCCAAATCCTATTATTTGATACTCTAAGGAACCTGATCTTATCAAATCTATGATGTCAGGAGTTACCTCTCGGTACTCTGTTGGATCCTTTGGATTCATCATATGTAAATAACTCACAAAAGCACCATTTCCAATTTTATTTTGTGTGAGTAAAATTGAATTCAACTTTCCATTTGATTTTAACTTCTGAAATAAAAGTACTTCAAGCTGATCATCAGGAAAGCAAGGATTAAAAAGCGTATCATAAATTCTTTCTTCGATATGATCAGCTATCCTTTCACAAAAGACATCTTTGTGTCGGTCATCAAGAATGATAAAGTATTCACTCTCGCTTTCGGATATTTGTTCTCGATTCCTGAGTCTGGCTTCAAGAATACATATGGGAGCAAATTTTATTAAAATATCGAGAGATTCCTTTGCAAAGTGACTCGCAATAATTTCAGTCAATCTAGAATGTAATAATTTGTATGATCCACCTTCGTTTGAAATAAAGACATTCGTCAGTCCACCCAAAGCTTGCTTAATTCTTTTCCTTGATGTGCCTTGATCCAGACAACACTCCTCATAGGAAACCTCAAAAATTTTATCAATCTTATCATCTTTCCCTTTCTGAAAATGACAAGACTCGATTCCTTTTTCGAAAAAGGTACATAACACTAGGGCACAGTATTCGTAAGGTGTTGGGTGATGTCTGAGAAGATCTAGTTCCCAAAAATACGCTTTATAGGGAAACTCCAAAAATTTTCTGGGGTTTTGCATAAAGGTTTCCTTGGTTGAAATGAGTTTGCACAATAGTGGAAAACAATCATGTAAGTTCAGAATATCTTTTTCAAATTTACAATCAACGTTCGTGTGAGACTTGTAAATTGTTCTTTTCTCCAGTAATGTCAACGAAAATTCTTTGGAATTAAGATCAATTACTTTGCATTTGTCCGGTTGAAAGAGTTCAATGTCTTTGTAATGGATTGTGTTACTTATTGAAAGTCTACATGTTACCAATAACCGCGTGTGAAAGGATTTTAAGAGGCAACGAACTACATCTTTTTCATATCGTTTCCATTCTTTTGCCAAATGGAAATCAATACTCCCTTCTCCACAAGGATCATCCACGACAAAAATCTGGTCCACGTCCTTATTAAAATACTGAAGTATTTCATTGGGAACTTTAATGGGCACAATGCAGTAGCCTTTGTTTTGCATGTTTAATGCAACATGATGTACAATAGCGGACTTTCCAGCTCCAGAGTTTCCAACAACAGCCACGCAATTGTTGGATTCCATTAAATGAAAAACTTCCATGGAAGCTCGAGTTTCGTGAAACTTATCGTCCTCTGCTGTCCACAAATCTAACAGATCTTGAATTTGTTCTAAAATAAAAGTGTAATATAAGTGCATTTACAAGTACAAATATATTATTCGTATATACCGGCATTTTAATCAAATATGTGAAGAATATATACCTAAATTGAAAGTTCAAACTTCAAGTATTTACATACTAAACAGAGAGCATATTTTAAAAAGCATTAAAAATACCTTTGACATTTTGTGGAATGGTATCTAGCAACTGCGCTCTTAATTGTTGTATTTCTAGCAGAATCTCTCTGTCTTTTTCCACCATTAGAGAGGTCTTTAATGTCTTTGTCTCAAGTAGCTGTGCTTTTCCCCCTAATCTTTCAATGGCCTATTAATAAAAGTAGGATGTAAATGTAAACTTTCAAGGAATTTTAAAAGTACAAATGAAACAAGCAAGCTCTGAGCCAGTGGCAAGTTTTTGGTGATTAGATATTAAATAACTACACTTTCAATATCCACCCAATAGTTGTCAAAGTCTGCTTCTGACAGTTTGGCATTGTTTGAATGAGCTACAAGGTTCCTGTAGTGCTTTATCCTTGCAAGGTCTGCTCCAACACTATCATCTGTTTGTACTGGAAGTTTTTCGAACCCAGTGACGGGAGCAGGAACATTCGTCATATACCGTAAAAGAAGAATCAGCAATGTGACATCAAATTGCCTAGAGTTTACATATCCTGAAATATACAAGACAATCAACATTGCTAAAATCTTTTATCGTTGTATTTTGATAGTTCTATTGCCAAACTTTACTTTAATTATTTTATTTTAACATCTTGAAAAAAAATTGTGAAACTTCATTTTAAAAAAAAATATGTGAAACTTTAGTTTTAATGTTTAAAGAAATCTTATATTGTCAAAGAAATAAAACTTAACATTTCAATAAGCATAAGGCAGAAGGTTGTGGGATGACATTTTTCACTGCAGCAAGCTTTTGTACAAAAATAAACCTTTCTTCTTGTTTACTGAAGTGTATTACCTGAAGATGGATATAATGTTTTCCATTGCTGAGCAGCTATGATTCTCCCTCTCAGAGCAGAAAGAGACTCTTTATTGACTGCCAGATCTGTCACTAACTGTAACGGTGGATGACGGGTATCAAAGTACGTTCTCACGGCTATAGGCGCTCTCCTTAAGATAAGAAACGTAAACCGACAGAAATTTATTTCCTCAGGACGAAGAACAGGAGGCATAGGAAGAGTTTCTGGATGATTTACAATTTGAGTTGTCGTTGTGTTCACTGTCTGTCTAGAGTTTGCTGAACTTGAGCCTGTATTACTCAAAACATTTGGCGAAGTCATTTCAGCTAATGTATCTGATGAGATATCCAGTGAAGAAGGCGAACTGTTTTCTTTTGTCTCTGTACAAGGAGTTTCATAGGGTGGGTTTACCAATGATTCCACAATGCCTGTTGAACAAATATGATTTGACCCAGAGAACGGAGGTATGGTTGAAACTCCTGCGTTGACACCATCAGGATCTTTTTGTATATTTGTGTCATCACACGCTTTTGTTTCTTCTTTCAATGTAGCAATGTCAGTTTTGATATTTGATGCTCTTGTTACGACATTTGTTAGAATTTCCTGGGTCCTCATGGCAGGATTTTGCAGTGTTGTTGTTGTTGCTGTCGTTGATTTCGTTGAGGCACACTGGTAGCTTGAATCTTCATCTGATGAATTGAGTTTCTCACCTCTTGGATCTAAACGACTGGCTCGAGAGAAGGAAAGGGGGGCATCCAAACCAGTTCTTGAATATAAAACTGAAACTGACTTTGTGGGTTCCCATGGAACGTCAGTTTGGTGACATTTTTCTACATTTTCCAATGTTTGACATACGGACTCCTGTATTGATCTTTGTAAAGTGGAAGTTGAAAATTCATTTGATGTTTTACCCTGCTGTAGATTCTCAGCTTTTTCATCACTTTCCATTTTTCTTATCTAAAATCAAACAAAAAGTAATCCATTGTTTACATAGACACTTTCAAACGGATATCGACAATATCTCTATTTGGCAAATACAATTAACGTTATTTTCCTTTTTAAATTTTCATTATTTCAGAAAACGCGCTTACCTTGGTTCTACGTCAATGAAAATGTCTATTCATAAATCGTAATGTGTTCTGCTGGTTTGATTTTTATTTGGTGGTATAAAAGAAGGATTGCATAAAAGAATTTTAGAATTGAATTCAAAATTGAAATTTAAAATGTCAGATCATTGTGTTAATTGAAAAGTGATTTTTTTTCATAGTCTTCTACATATATATGAAATGAAGAAAAATCGATGATACATAAATGTATATTGTAAGAAAAAAGAACGTTGAATAATTCCGCTGGAAAACCTCCGTCTTCTTTTTATCAAATTGTATACATACAACTGAATGTGTACAAAACATGAAAGAATATCGATAGATTGAGTTTATACGCACTGCTATGCAGACTGTAATTCTAAAAATAAGCGTTTAAATAAAAACGTCATTTATCGGTAGACATGACATGGTCCGGAATTAATTATTGAAATTCAATAAAAATTCATTAATTACGTCGGATAAAAACAGGTATACTTACAGTTATAAGTATTAGATATACAAAAAATGTCCAATAAAAAGTTAAATGGATGGTAATGTTTTTATTTTATTGAAAGTATTATTATGAAAAAAAGCAAAAATTGTAAGATATTAGAAATGGAATATACCAGCAAGCCTAGATTGATAAATTAAAACAAAAATTAGTAAATAATTTATATTAAACATGTAAATAAATGTGCATTGACATTTCTTTTTGAAATTTGAGAATATATTAAGATAAAATCATTGGTATTTGTCTATATTACACCTTTGACAAAGTATGTTATAATATATTTTAAACTGTCAATAAATGCTGACTCGTCTATGGCACCCAGTGCCAACTACGAGGGCTGTTCATTGGTATTTGTCTATATTACACCTTGACAAAGTATGTTATAATATATTTTAAACCGTCAATAAATGCTAACTCGCCTATGGCACCCAGCGCCAACTACGAGGGCTGTTCGAAAATTATTGAGACATTGTGTATATTTTGCTTTCTAATGAACGTCTTTTGGTGAAAATTTGCATATACGCTTGACATAAACTAAGAATTAATATAAGCAAAAATATTTTACAAATATTAAATATTTTCTGTTCAATGGTATATAAATGCGTCATCAGTAGGGGTACCCGGAGCAGTCTCGATATCAGATATTGAAAATATGTGACACCAACGTTCTAACTCTTCGTGGACCTATAATAAGAGCGAAAATAATTCTGTTTTTGGGTATAATTTTTCAGCTGTAATTTAAATTCATGTTGTGCAACTTTGTTCGAAAGAACTTTATTCGGTAATAACCAATATTTGCCCCCAAATCAAACTTTGATGGAGATATATTTAATCAAGTTTTTAAACAAGGGAGTATATGCTGACTAAAAGGCACTGAATATTTTCATAAGTAATGACGCCATATGTACGTAATGACGTCACAAACATGACGTAAATTTCAGTTTCTTATGAATTTTACAGAAAAATGTACATATTTCGTCGATATTTTGAGTAAAAGTCACCGAGCGCATGTGTGTTCAGGATCAATATTTTGATATAATATGTAGAATGATAATATCAATGAAGTATGTCAATATTGTTCCTGAACAAACTTGCGCTCTATAAATTTTAAAGCTGAAATTGTTGAAATTTTGTCCATTTTGTCCTCTTTCTGAAAAAGGATATAAAATCGGACTAGTTTGTGACGTCATAAAAACAAAAATTGTGAATACACTGCTTTGACACTATAATATTTTCTGTTAATTTATATTTCTCATACAGTTTATTGAATTCTGCACATTTCAGGAAGTTTTTAAAATTTGACTTTTGTGGGGGCAAATATATGCAATATACCGCATATAGTTCTTTGATCAGGAATACGGAGATCATAAAAAAAAATTAAGCGCGGTAGAGTAATCTGCTAAGAACGAAAAAGTATGATTTTGACGTCAAGGGCGGAGCAGCAAACATACCCAAACTTTTGTGTAGCGCAATGTAGAACTCTTTTGCAGATTCAACAACCTGCTAAAACAATAACAACAAGAAAAAATAATGTGTTAGGGTTTGTTATTTCATTGGTATACATTTTTTTTTACAATTAATTCAACCAGAGTAAAATCAAAAGCTCCGGACGACCATCAGTTATTACGTACGGTATTAATGTCGTTACGGTATTAATATCGTTGACCTGCGTTGCATAAATCGGCACTGCATGATTTTAAGTCATCTTTTTCCACAAATGAAAATTTTACACTCAGGTAGCAACAGCATACATTATTAAGGAAGTTTAAGAAAAGAGACTGATTTTTGTAATGTTATATCTTATATGTTATTACAAAGAAGTATACATGCTTCCCGATCGTTTTACATGCGAAACCATCTCCGGATGACGTGACGTTAAATGACGTACATGTAGCGATGCTGCTCCGGGTCGATAGACTTATGCATGTTTATCATTTCACCGATCGAAACTTTTCTTATTTTCATAGGAATTAGAAATTTTGCATAAGTGTTTTATTTATAAAATGTTGATGAATATCATGAAAGTATCTCCATCCTTTATGGAGTAAATGTGATTGTCTCAATAATTTCCGAACGTATGTTTGCTTGACTTCAAATCTGTACTGTTTAATGGACTGTATTGTTAAATGGATTTTGGCCTAAGTTACCGTTCGTTATCTGGAATATTTTCAAATTTCATGAAAAGTTATCGTTTAAAATTCTTTAAAATGTATTAATTTTGACCGCTATAACTATAACTAGGGTAAGCAAAGCAAACAAAACACTTTCCACTAATTTGCAAAGAGTAAAGTAATGAAACATTATCGTCAAAGTTTTCTTGACTCAAAAGTTAAAACGAATCAAGTAGTTTTTCAATATATTCAATAATACATATTCATTCCTTTAAATGCAGGTATTGAATAATTTTTAAATTTTCCTCATTGTCTCTTAGGTCATTGTTTAAGCCAGGTCCATAAAGTAATCTATAAAATAGGACTCTCATTACGTACGATCAATTAGATTGTCACAATGAGTAACTATAAACACTAGAAGTTTCATTATAAAATGACAACTTTAATGATAACGAACATTGACAGATCTCTAAAAAAAATCATTAAACATTACAAATTTGTAAACAGGCCATAAACCATGCCGGTCCTCCATGACATCTGATCCAACCTCTGCTGATTCTAAAGGTCGATGTTCGCTTTGCTTTAAATTTTGTTAAATTTTCAATCCAATTTACAAAATAGGTATGATCACATAAAGTATTCAGGAAAAAGTGGAGACTTCAACACCAATAATCCAATACTTACGTTATGTTCTTGCATGAAATATATTAAAATAACGAACCGTATTCAATTTTCAAACTTCATTCAAACAATACAGATCAAGGGCTGAGCAGACCTCTAAAGATCCAAAACTGCGATCTGAGGCCTGTGCAACAGAACGAACGTTCGCGAACACTCTCGAAAATTCCTTATCACCCCTACTAATGTGTTCGGAACCTTTTATTTTTCGGTGTTCTGCAAATTATAAAACCCGATGAGTTCAGAGTAGCTCTGGCAGTGGCTCTGGTGAGAGTTAGCGAGACTTCAGCGAGATAGGGTAAATTATTCACGGAAATGTGGCTAGGAAGTGACTAGCAAGTGGAGGCATGGTAAACAGAAAAGTTATGTTGCGTTTCAGTTTTCACCATCCTAGAATCAGCTGATGTCTGTAGAAATGTACTTCAATCAATCGATCTCTTTTACATTCATTCAAACTTAAATAAATAATCTTTATAATACAATTTTCTGCAGTCATGAATTAAAATTTCTTTTTGGACAAATATTTTTGCGTGGAAACCGGGACCAAATTTTTTGGCGACAGATTAGCAAATGAGGCACCAGCATGATTTTAACTGACCAATCAGCTGAATGAGTATTGCATTAT